GCAGACAGGAAAGGGGTGAAGTAAAAATTTGAATGAGTCAGAGCTGGAATCTAAATCTTTGGACAGGGAAAATAAGATCTACCCCCACCCTTGTTTGTTTTTCATTAGCTCTTTCAGGTTTAGTGAATATTGGAGACTTTCACCTCAATCAACGACTTGTGAGTCAATCACTTTTCCGTATCAAAAACATGCCTGAGTCTTGTTATCTCCTTATCCACCTTGACGTGTAACTCCAAACTTGTCAACAACACTTATTCATTAAAATTCCAGGACCGTTTTTCTCAAAATCCAATTCAGACCTCTATGAATCACTCTAAATTGGTTAAATATCGTTTCCTTTGTTCAATAAATAATCGATTGAGACAAACATTTTGTGCAATCTAACGCGTGTAAATCAGTGGATTTTAGTTAATATGCTAATCCACAATTTAATAATTTGATGGTTTTCTTCATTGTTAGATGAAAAGAAACGTTAGGTAAAAAGGGGGATGTTTGTAAGTAGAAGAAAACTATCTCATTTTTGTGGCTGAGAAATCGAGAGCATATCATCAGCTGGAGTATATATTATCAACTGCAAAGAAACGTACCTCCAGATTGTATTTTCATTTCAAAGTAGCATTTATTTTGAAGGATCGCCGCATTCGCTAAAGCTGCCCCAGAACCACATATCCTTTTACCGGATTTCACAATGACGACCTCATTTCCTACACATCCAATGGAATTACTCAAGCGATAATTTCATGTGTACAAGTGTGAAAACAGCTCTTTCACAAAAACACTCGAAGTGTTGCAATCACTCACCCATATGCCCTGTATCTAGCTGTACTTGAGGAAGCTCTCTGGGCTGTGAATTTCTAGGTTGATGATATCTCCTCAAACAACATAAAATTCCTAATCCACAAGCCTCCATTATATTTGTCCGATCGTAAAATCCTTATTCATCTCGAAGTTCACCGCCATATAGTTCCACTTCCTTCATAGCGTGACTTTCCGAAAAAAACTGGATACCATTAACCTCGTTTTGAAAAAAGGTTCGTTTCCAGTTTCTCTCGTCGACCAAGAGCTAACATGGCGGCCACAAGAGCTCTTTTTGCTGGTAAAAAAAGTTTTCACAAAAATTTTCACGTAAATATCCTGAAATTAAGTTATGTAGCTGTGTAGAATAAGAAAAATTGCATCAGAAATGTGTTTTTTCATTTCAGTCAGAGGATCGGACGGAATATCTATCGTTCATGGCCCGCCAAAGTTTAGGCAAAACCAGGACTTTGGAAGGTAAGGGGTCGGTAAGCTACTACAACAACCTGCAAGTTGCAGTCAGTATTAATTATCTATCCAAAATAAGGCTCGGTTTGTAATTGCACAGATATTTCAAATTTTGTCAATGAAAGACAGAAAAACTCCAAACTGCCGCCGCATTGGTGAAGACGAATTTACGGATCTGGTCGTACAATTATTATAAATTTTGTATGTGTTTTTCTTCAATGCAATGGGCCTAATATGACAAAAGAGGATTGTGTTAGCCTCGTATTTTTACTTGAAAGAGGAAATCTCACTAAAGGTTAAGTAGAAAGAAAAAAAATCAGCTTTCAACTCGCAACAGTGTTGCTGCTTATTTCCTTTTGAGGAGTGAAAAATTAACCCTTTAACTCCCGTGACTGATCAAGACAGAATTTCTCCTTACAATATCAATACAATATCAAGCAGACAAGTGATGAGAATAAAGAATAATATCAATAAAGGGATTATTAGGTGATCTAATACCAAATTCTCCTAACTTGCACCATAAGAAAAGTAAAGCAAACAGTAAGGAGAATTACTGATGAAATTTTGGGTTAAAACTTCATGCATGACTTCCTATTTTTGTTTTGGAGGGAGTGAGAGTGAACAAAATTCCTAACCTCCTCTTACACTGAGCTATAAGCGTTTCTCATTTGTTTATTTCAGTGATAATTCTGGTAGATGCACAGTGATGACCTTTAGTGCTGATGGATCTCTCTTTGCTTGGTGCAATGGCCAAAGGTAAATATCTTTTTCTTGAGTGTTAATTTTTCCTTTTGTCTTGTGTGGAAATATTTTACAATCTAAGGGGATGTTAAAGGAGAAAAACAGGCATCACAGGAAATCATCTTGAAGTAACCAGAGTTTAATGTACTGTAAGTACCCTGTAAGTAGTACTTAATGTAACTTGTTTTGCTTGTCGTCTGCCTTTGGCAAATTTTTGTGTTGATTAACCCTAACATTAACTCCAACCAGTAAAATGAACATTTGCTAATATGTTGTCACCTTAAAAACACAACTTTATGTTATACAGAGTACATTTTACATGTAAAACATCAAATAAATAAGAATGAGCTGTGCACTTAAAAATTTTAAACCAGTTTGAAAATTCTAAACCAGTTTAAAATTTATAAATCAGTTTAAAAAAAAATTAAACCAAAGGTAAAATTTGAACCACAACCGATATATCAGCAATAAATAGTTCCTGAATTATGATTTAGCTTGTCTTTTTTCGAATCTAACCATCATCTGAGTGTCTTTTAGATATCTTTCTATTTGTCTTTTATATTTAATTATTATTTTGCAGTGTAAGAGTTGTAGACACATCCAAGTTCAGTCTGGTATGTCGTATTCCTAAAGAGAAAACTCAGTGTTTGGACTTCTCTCCTAAATCCACTCACATATCGACATGGGAACAGTATACAGGTTAGTGCCACTTTATCCTTTTCTTTACCTTGATTCTTACCATGTCTTCCATTTGTCCCAGCTGATTTACTATTGTTGATGTTACAGGTCAAATTTGATTTCAGGTTAATTTTGATTTAACCTAGGTTGATTTTTTGTAACCTAGGTTATTTATAACGTACTGTTATATAGTCATGCAGTAGGCCATAATACTGGTACATTTTTAATATGTTTGTACTAAAGACTTGAATTACACCCTGGTAATGTGAAATGGTATTATTGTCATAGTGATTTTGAATAAGCCTATTTTAAAGTTGGTCCTGTATCAAGGTAACACCCATCGGCCCATTTGTCTTATTTTTTATTAATCTTGGAAAATGACCTTTTCTTTCAGTCTCTTCTCTTTCAGTGGTAGAGTTAAGTTGTGGTTGAATTGCTGAATTGATTTTTTTATTATTATTTTTATAAAACCAGCAAGTAAAGACCAGTCTGCAGGAGTAAACAACCTTGAAATCTGGAATCTTCAGGCTGGAAGATTAGTTGCTGGATTTTCACAGAAGAAGAAGGACACTTGGTGAGTTTTTCAGGATGCAGTTTTGGATATCTTTTTCGATTAATTTTTTTTGCCTGCAACCTCACTGATTTTAAAAGTTTTTGTAGGTATGCAAACTTTACACACAGGTTACTGAATGTTACAAATGAATTGCTTGCTTCACTGAAATAAAAAATATGTATATGCTAGGAACGTGGTAAAAATTCATGTATTGTATAATGTCTGATGATCAAAAAGTGATGTGTGAAGTTTTGATTGGGGGAATTTGTTGCAAAGGAATTTTTCAAGGATCATATTTTCTTGACTGTGTAAATGAGTTGCCAATGACAATTGCAGAGGAAATCATCAAATATACAGAAGAGGTTTGTATTTTTTCAGTTTCCCCTGATAAGCAGTCTCGCATGTTCTGATTGTTATCAATTTATCCTGACTTGTTTGCACAAAATCTGATACATGTCAAATGAATAAAAATGTGTAGTGCAGCTTTGGCAACAATGAAATTACTGGCTTTGCAGGCAACCAAAGTGGAGTGAAGATGAGTCAGTCTGTGCCCGATCTGTTACCAATGAAGTTCACTGCTTTCACAATACAGATTTCAGTATGTAAATGTTTAACCTAGTTAATCAGTACTCAGTTTTGGCTATCAAGTTAAAAACCTGTGAAACATTTATTTAAAATTGAAATTCTGGTGATTAATAGAAAAAAGTTTTGCCTGATTAGAGGTATAGACATATGGCAATCTGTGTGTTTTTTTTTAGAATATTTCGTCTCCATCTTGTACTCATTACAGTACAACTAACATCTTTCTTAACCCTTTTCACTCTCATGAGTGACCAAAACAGAATTTCTCCTTACAATATCAATACAATATCAAGCAGACAAGTGATGAGAAAAAGAGAAATTATCAACAAGGGGATTATTGGTTGATCCATTACCAAATTCCCTGAAGTAACATTATGTGAACTAAATGGAAGACAGTAAGGAGAATTGCTAATGAGATCTCGGGAATGACAGAGTTAATTATTAAATTGCATTGTTCATCCTTGTGAGGCATGCTGGCCTCATGGTTAGTGTGCTTGACTCGAGCACCGGATTGAGTGGTCCAGGTTTGAGCCCTGGCTGGGGACATTGTGTTGTGTTCTTGGGCAAGACATTTTACACTCCCAGTGCCTCTCTTCACCCAGGAGAATAAATGGGTACCAGTGAATTTAATGCTGGGGGTAACCCTGCGATGGACTAGCTTTCCATCCAGGAAGGGGGGGGGGTTAGAAATACTCCTAATCTCTTCATGCTATGGAAACTAGAGTTAAGTGCCCACCCGATGGGCCATATTAATCTACTAGTAATACACAGCTAAACTCACTAATGAGATATCTAAAACTCAGTGATAGAGCATTGAACCTCAAAAACTGGAAGTCTGTCATTTGTAAATCTTGTTAGGGGGACTCTGAATTGTTTAATTAATATCTTTCTTTATTTGACAACCAAACTGTTTAATTATTTTGCTTATCATTTTTTGTAGCTTCAATTGCCACCAAACTGAGGCTTCAAGGAATCTCAGATTTTGAGCTCTCTCCAGGTTCCCCTCCATTGACAGTGGCAGCTTATGTTCCTGGTTCAAAGGTGTGTATGCTGTGTTTTGTCCCTAAATTCTGCATGTTTTGAACTATTATATCAAATTAAGGGATTTTACTTGCTGGGAATTATTCTGTGCAAATCAAAAAAACTAACAAAATAATGGTACACGTAGATCACTTAACATCCTTTTTAATCTCTACAGGGTGCACCATCATATGTTCGGTTATTCAGACACCCAGATTTTGACAGTCCTGCTTCTGTT